ATTTACCACTCTGTTTCACATTTAATTTTCATTTTTTTGTTTTTTAACTTCTAGAGCTTCTTGTCCTATATGACTTTAACCGCGTATTTACACTAGTCAGTGACATCCGCGTGCGGCGTACTGACAGATAAATAAAAAATATATATATTGACCAAAGAGATGACCGCTCGGAGATCGTCCGTACTCCGCACGCTGATCTCATCGACCAGTGTAATACGCCATGTAAATGTAAATAGCTACATGTTATATCTTATATTGAAATTAACCACATTTAAAAAAAAATATACAAAAGCGTGACGTCTCTTAAACTTTAATTCCTGTTATCTAAGCTATTTTTTGTTAAATTGTAGTAAAAAAAAACAATAATACCCTTCCAAACACAGCATCACCTTGTTGCGAGTTAACCTGGGTTTCGCCACAGTCTGTGAAGCCTGATCGACCTTTGATCACGACCTTTTTCGCACGTTTTTGTAGTAAGTGATCCACTTTTCATCACCAGTTATAAGCTTCTTCAAAAATGGTTCGGTTTCATTACGCCGTAATAAAGAATCAGAAATGAGTACATAGTTCAGTAGGTTTCTTTTAGTGAGCTCATGAGGTACCCAAATATTCAAATTTTTTATGTACCCAGCTTTTTCAAATGTGCCAAACCTGTTTTGTGGTCAATCCGTTCTTCAGCGACGTCGTAACAACTGATATGTCGATCTAGCTCCACTTTTTCAAAAATGGCGTCCATTTTATCCGTAACAAAGCGACCTAAGCGATATTCTTTGACATCCAAATTTCCAGTCGGTAAACGCTTAAACTAAATTTGTACTACTCTCACAGAAACGGCATTAGGTCCATAAACGTCACAGAATTTTTTTCGCGTCTTGCATTCCATTTTTACTTTTTTGTAATAAAATTTCAAAATTTATCGAATTTCTTCATTAGATTTACTCATAAATGGAACAACAAAAGTTGTTTCATTGAAGATTCATCATCATCATCATCATCACCAGCCCTTTAAGGAGGATGGGCCATGACCCGCCACGCTTGGAGGGTATTGACGACTGCAAATGCAGCCGGGACCAACGGCTTAACGTGCCTCCCGAAGCACGGAGTAGCTCGAGATAATAATTTTTGGTCACCCATCCCGTGACTGACCCTTGTGAAAGTTGCTTAACGACAACGATCGCGGGCCGCGGCGCTTATCCAATACGCCACCGAGCTACTCATTAGATTAGTACGCGTGAAAATATCAATCAATAGATTTACTCATTTTGACATTTAAAAAAAACAAATGAAAATTTAAAAAGATATCAATTTGAATCCAGAATTATCTTCTTTATTTTTTTTTATTGTAATTACTGAAACCAGTCAAATACAAATGTTACAGCCAGAAAGGTTTTATTACAAGCTTATGCCATACATGAAATTCTTTTTTCCCAACCAAATAAAATCAAATCAAAGGAAAACAAGTAAGTACAGATACAGTTAATGCGGCTTCATCAACGTTTCTATTTCATAATTAAAAAACTATGATATTTAGCAACTAAAAGATCGATTCAATTGATACTTTAATAATTTATACATAAATTTCATTACTTTTATACTATTCTACAAAATATTTTATTATCTATTATCTGATATTCATTCACTCGTCAATTTCAAAGCTTACGAACAAGTATCGAATTCTGTTATCATAAAACAGTAATATATACGTGAACTTATGTATGTTTAAAAGGTGGACTTTTTATTTTACGAAAATCGTTCATTATACTATTTATTTGTCTATTTATTATTTACTAGCTTTCGCCAGCGGCTTCGCCCGCGTGGTTCCTAAGGAAATGTTTAATGAGATAAAAAATAATTTTAATTATTCTGTACGTATATCCAGAGCAAAATAAATCTGACCTAACTAATTACTATTTTTTTTTCATTAAAAATTTCACGTTTGCTTGTCAATCACGCTGCAACCACTGAACAGATTTCGATAATAATAAATCATACAACATCGATTATGGCTATCTTATAATATTGATCTATATACGACGTTTTTTTTTTTTTTTTAACCTGGTTTCCCCACTCTTTAGCAGGATATCTTTTCTTTCTTTTTTGATTGTTTTGCTTTTTTTTTCTTTTTTTGTTTATCCAGGCTTTGAAGGCCTGCTTTATGGGGAATTATCTTTTTCTTTTTTTTTTCAATAATGGTTTCTTATTTCTATTACAATTGTTCTCTATACTAATTACAATATTTCATATTTATTTATATCTATATATTTTATCTACGTCTTTTATACATTAATATCTTATATTTCTATAATCTGTTTTATTATACATTTTGTGTTTTCTTCAACATTTACATTATTATACAGTGACAGGTTACCCTTATGTACTAATATTACAGTTAATCTCTTGTTTGTTTACAATGTCTTATTCTTAATCTTTATTTTTCTCGTTTACCTTTTTTACAATTTTACATGCATTTTCTATGAATACTTCTCTTTCATCTCTGTTCTCCATTATTAATTCTAGATTTGTTTTGCTGAGTTGTGTATTTATGCTGCTTTGTAAAGTGTACCTGATGTTACTATAAATTGGACATTCTAAGATTATATGAAAAACATCTTGTTTAACTTGGGGGTCGCAATCGCAGTATGGGGTATCCTTGCACTTAAACTCATGGAGGTAGGACTTAAACCCTCCATGCCCCGTTAATAGCTGCGCAGCCCATCTGTCATTCTTCATCTTTCTCACGACGCCGAAGGCCTTTTCCGCGCTTGGGAAAAAGGCTTTCGTCGTGGCAGCGGTGCTTTCGCTCTTATAACGGTTGTCCCACTCTACTTTTGTCAAATTGCGTAAGTGCCTTTTGACAAAAGAGATGGGACACCCGTCATAGTGCGATTTGCACTTTAATCCGAGAGCCGCCCCCTTCGCAAGCTCGTCCGCCCTCTCGTTTCCAATCACGCCGACGTGGGCCCTGATCCAAAATAGAGAGACCTTGCGGCCAAGTTCCCTAATTTGGACCAGGTTGCCTTGAATCGCCTTCGCGATTGGATGCGAGGAGTCTGGATCTTGCAGCGACTGTAGGGCGGATCTCGAATTGCTTAGCACCGCTACCTCCTTCCACTCTTTACTCATCATACATTCAGTAGCTCGGAGGATGGCGTACAGCTCGGCCTGGAAGACTGTACAGTATGGCTCCAGCTTAAACTTTCAGGAAGCGATTTTAACAGCCCCTTTCCAACAGGTCAGGGCTGCACCGACTTTTCCCTCCAGTTTGCTGCCATCTGTATATATCTTCACTAGGCCTTCTGCTGTTTTTCCATCCTCCTCAGCATTTTTCAAGCACTCAAATTCTATCATTCCTAGGCTGCCGGGGTGGTTCGATTCCAACAAGGATACCCGCTCTTCCACCTTTCTTCCGCTTAGTATTCCCTGGGGTTTCCCGCGCTTTGCTTCATAAAGCCGGGATGCTTCTTGGACCCTAAGGTCCAGCGGAAGCAGCCCCGACAATACTAAAGCAGAATTTAATGATGTAGTCCTATATGCTTTTGAAATTTTTTGCGCGAACCCCCTTTGTACAGTGCTAAATATTTTCTTACTCCTAATTTTATTTGCCTCCCTCCCCCAGACACTAGCTGCGTATAAGATTACTGGTTCAATTACGGCCAGGTAAATTGTTCGTATTATTTCTGGGTGTAACCCCCATGTCACCCTTGCCGCAGTTGTTAACCCTTTATATATGTTAATTGCTTTTTGGCTAATATATATTATATGTTGGTTAAATGTTAACTTTCTGTCTATTATAACTCCCAGGATTTTTATCTCCTCTTCTAGATTTCTTCCTTTTATGCCGTTCTAGTTTTGTTTTTGTGGCGCAAAATTTAATTTATTGGATATCCCCCATTCTTTTACTCTTGTTAATGCTTGGTTTGCTTTAGTTTCTATATCCTGGGAGTTATTTGTATCTATTACGAGAACTACGTCATCTGCGAAGGCTTGGCAATATACGTCGGTCGAGGTGAGTATGTTCAATAATGGGTCCAAAATCAAATTCCAAAAGATGTTGTATGATCTATTATTTGCAGCAAGTACATACAGGTTCCTTGCACTTGACACTCGAGAACATGCTACATAGAGCTGGCCATGGGACAAGCAGGGAATGCCCAAATGTATGCCGGCCTCTTTTAGGGTTTGTCCCTGGGACTTATTGGTGGAAAATGCCAATTTCAATGGGAACTGCAGGTTTTTGAACTGGAATGTCAAATTGTGGGGTAAAATGGGTATGCGGGGAATCAACACGCTCTCGCCTTTAACTGCTCCCGTAAGTATTGTTGCTCGCACAATGTTTCTTCCCAGTTCGCTGATTTGTAATCTTGTGCCGTTGAACAATCGCGGGGCGTCAAGATTACGCATCAACAAAACTGGGACGCCAACCTTCAGCTCTAGCTTGTGGGGCGGTACGCCCGTTAATTCTAATGAGTTGAGAAACTCCACGGGATACGCAGTGCTGTCATCGCTTGCCATCACCGTGTCTATGGACGTGTACACCCTCGATGTGCCATCTACTACATTTAATACCTTGTTGATTATTTTATTCACTAATTCATTTTTTGGAAACATCCGTTATATGTTCTAATATTAAGAAGAAAATGACGTGATTCGTCAGAAACGCCTAAAAATAGATCCTTCAGTGGTTTTTACAGGCTCCTCCAATAGTGAGATAAGTACTTTCCCTCCAGAAAGACACATAGCAGCTGCTTCTTCCTTCCATTTCAAGGCGTATTGGCACTTTTAACCAATCTTTCCATTTTAATTAGTTTATGGCTGTCGTAATTGAGACTACTGTCGTACTTAATTGCGGCGCGTTCAAAAACACCCCACGTATTTCTGATAAATATCTGTCACCGCTGCGCCACTCTTTCAGCTATAGCACGTTTGCGAGCTTCTGCCGCTTCTAGAGTCTAGGCTGCCCGCTGTGAAATGTCATAAGCAGTTTGCCATTGGAGCCGAGACTACATCTGCTCCAGCGTTTCGGACATACGCAGGCTAGCTTGTTGCTCAGCCTGTTCTGTGAGTCGCGTTTCCCTATGCTGTGAAGACTCAGACGCGCGTTGCGAAGCCAAATATACAGCGTGCTGTTCACGCTGAGACTGCGATTGCTCCGGCGTCTCAGATATACACAGGCTAGCTTGTCGTTCAGCCTGCTGTGTGAGTCGCGTTTCTCTATGCTGTGAAGACTCAGTCGCGCGTTGCGAAGTCAAATAAACAGCGTGTTGTTCACGCCGAGACTGCGATTGCTCCGGCGTCTCAGACATACGCAGGCTAGCTTATTGCTCAGTCTGTTCCACGCGCCGAGCTGCAGTTTCGTTAGGCGTCTCATTAGCTCGACGTGATGCTAAATAAGTACTTCATTAGTTCGAGCAAGTTTCGATTTATTAGATAAATTAGATTTACGCTTCCCTGTCATCTTACAAAATAAAATAAGAATAAATATGTAAACAAAGAGTTAATTGAGAAGTAGATTTAGACCGCAGAGTCACAGTCATCTATATCCAAGTAGTTGCGGTAATTCAATATCGCAATGTAGAATACAGGCAATGCCATCTGTTGGGCTTAATATTACCGATTATATTAAAGATGCCGTTTTATCTTAATACATACATGTACATAAAATAGTGTTTAGAAAATCGGCAATATACGTTGTTTTATTTTCTCAAAAACATCGTATTAAAATCTAAACTACTTATCCAATCTACATGGTGTAAAAGACAATTTTCATGTATATTAAATTTCTTCGACGCTAAACATATTTATTTCGATAAGGATATAATATCACCTAATCAAACAAACGTTTAAAGACGGACAAAAAATTTACGAAGTTCTTTTTATTATTGTGGCAAATCCCTCGCACATAGATATATGACATCGCGGACTTTTTTATAGATAATTTAAGGCTCTCCAATTTTTCTTTAGAAAGCATTTGTATATCTCATACAGTTTAGGCAGCGCCGGTGGAAGTACTTTTATCCTAGGTAACCTTTTGGTGGGATAATATCCTATTATCTAAGTCAGGTAGTTCCATATCTGTATACCAAATTTTATCAAAATCCGTTCATTAGTTTCGGCGTGATTGACGTCCAAACATCCAAACATCTAAACATCCAAACAAAGAAACTTTCACATTTATAATATTAATAGGATTTGTCTATTATTTATTTGTCATCATAATATTTATGAGCAGCCCTACCATAACCTAATTCCCTAATGACGTATCTCGCTAAAGAAAGAGAATTATCAAATAAGTAAATTATTGTATTTGCCCAGAACGACATCTATATTCAGTTATGATATATTTTGTGATTGCCTATATACATATACAGGAATATTATTAAGCTCATCGAAAATGTTACTGATACATGAAAATTGGATATTCACAAAACACAAAAGAAAATTTTCCGAAGAACCATCTCGAAAAATAAAATGTACTCTTTACGTTAAGGCATATTCGTTATGCCCTTGGGCGTCTTATGCATTGCACCAAAATTCTGACATGATCTAAAAAGAAAATTAGACTTTACGACTTTGACAGAAGGTTGGAAATCGTCGAGTATATCCAGTGCCACTCAATAAATGAAGTTTGTCGTACCGAGTAGGTGAATTTAGCATTCCGTTTGTAGATCGCTTAGAGCTACGGAGTGTCATGAAACTCGTCATAGTTTCGTTCTGCAGATATTTTATGATGTTAGATGTATTTCAAAATTTATTGTTGGTGCTTGTGGTTGATTTATCAACTGTCTAGTAAATTGTAAGTGGATAAATCAAATTTTAGGAAAAATACTTTTAAAATTGATATGGTACATTAAAAGCGCTTATTATTTGTAAAGTCTAAATAATTTTACATTTTATGAATCTTATTATAAATCTAAAGATGCCTGAAGGAAAATATACCTAAAAGGTAAGTTACCTATGAAATAGCCATCTTATGGACCCATCTTTAAATCTTGATCAAGACATCGGTCTATTGAAGCCCCCGTTTCAGCAGAGGTCACGCTCATATAAAGAACAGAGGAAAAACAGACCATAATTTAAAGTTACACGGAGAAGGTTCAGATAACAAATGTGTGCGAATCTCAGGTTTATTGTAAGGATTCACAAAAGCATAGACGAATAGATGCAGATGATACACAGATGTTATTTTGGTATTTTTTCTTGATGCACCAACACGATTTTCTATTCTATATAAAGTCTATGTCATAATGTATTAACCTTAAGGAAACAAGTGATTTTTTTACTCCTGAATTTTCTGATAAAGCCAAATGTTTGCTTTTACGTTATTATGTAAAGTCAGGAACGAGCTCTGACATTACCCGCTCACTTATTACATTACGCTGACATAGCACACATAAAATTGTATTTTTCCGTGGTAAGCAAGTATACGTGACATCCGTGTCATTCATAAACAAAATATCGTACATATACAACAAAGACCTTTTTCATATCGGAGTAACACTGTCTATGTTTAGACTTTATTTACAGGCACGTTAAGCTGTTCGCCAATCCTTACTGGGTCTCCCTATTTTATTGCATTAAACAATTTAGTTGAAAATGGATTAGCGGATTAGCGGGGGGACCGCAACTGCTAACAGACGTGTTTATAGTCGTTGTCGTCGTCATTAATTCGTATATAAAGATAAAGTTATATTTTCTACATACATAAGTTTTCAGTGTATTACATAAGCCGTTCTCAATTGAACTGTGTATATATTTTGATGTTTTTACGTGCCGTATTTGTCGAAAAGTGATGATTTACAATTGCATTTTTGCCGGTGTCGTGTGAATCGTTTATCAAAGTTGTCAAACAGGTTCAGTGAATCGCTCGGAATTGTTGGCTGCCTGTGAATTGTATCCGCATTTCGTTACAAACTTAACGTCATCGGTGGCCTAGTGGTGTTGCTGCAGTTGTCTTTAAATGATAACTTTGAGAGACGTGGATCGATCCTACGAAGAGACTGATAATTTGTTTTCTATTTTCGTTTTTTTTTATCTTTTTATTTCTTCATATTTTTGTCTTTATTTTAATATATTAAATTATAAATTGCGAAATAACATGTCGAACACTGATATTATATGCGGAGGATGTCGGAAGTCCATTGAAGATAGAAGGTATTTGAGGTGCAGCGCTTGTAGACTATATTACGATTTGGACTGCGCCAACGTCTCCGAACAGCGGTTTTATAATACTATGAGCACGGATTATAAGAAGGTTTGGAAATGTGTTATTTGTGCTAGTCAGCAGCCGAAGGTTGACAACACTAACACGCCTGTTCGGGGGACGGCCGTCGGAGTCACTGTGCAGCGAGGCGCCGCTGTTGATACTTCCCTCAATTTGGACTTGGATTATATGAATGATACCGCACACAATATGACTATCGAGATGACTGATTTTCAGGCGTTTGTCATGGAGATGCGAGCATTTAGGGAAGAGATGCGGGAGGAGATGCGAGTTAATCGTTTAGAGATGAAAAGGCTGAATGATGCAATTGCTGCGCTGACGGGCAGGGTTACGGAATGCGAGGGTCAGGTTGATGTCCTCAGGGAGCGTTGCAATAAAATTGAAGCACAACTCTCTGCCGAAAAAGCGGATAATACGACACTTGTGGCTGAAATTGATAACTTGAAATTGGCACTAAATGATCGGGATCAAGATTTGTTGTTCACGGACCTTGAGTTGACCTGCATACCTGAGCAGGTGAATAAAAATTTACAGCATTTAATCGGTACGGTGGCTACTAAGCTTGGCGTGGAATTGGCTGAACAGGATGTTGTTAGTGCGGTACGAGTGGGCCGTATACTTGACGCAACCCAGACCCCTGGTGTGCTTCGTGTTCGTCCCATTGTGGTGCGGCTGGCACGGCGTGCTGTCCGTGATCGTCTGCTGGAGGCTGCGAGAGTGCGTCGTGGTGTCACTACCGAAGGCTTAGGCCTTCCCGGAAGACCGTGTCAGTTTTTTTTTAATGAGAGGCTCACTAAGTCAAACAGACAGTTATTTCGGCGGGCGCGTCAGTTGGGCCGTGATCGTGGATGGCGCTACGTCTGGACGAGAAATGGTCGAATTTATGCACGACAGTATCCAGGTGTGGGTTCAGTTCGTCATACCATCCGCTCAGAGGCTGATCTTGGTCGAGTTTTTGGCCTGGACGCAATATGAGCCTTTAGATTCCAGTGTTTGCTTTTTCTCATTTTGCTTCTTTTGTATGCTTATGCTTCACTCATTGTATAAACATTGCTCATGGATAGTATTGTCATATTTAAGTATGCTATGTAATCATGAACTATATTTTTTAATGCTTTTACCATGGTATCTAGAAGTACCCTATCACCATGTAATAAGTATTTATAATGACATTGTATTGTTATTGAGTGTCTTTTTTAAAGTAGTAATCACGCTTTTTGCTTATAATTTTATGTTTTTATATCTCTACTCAATGATTTTGTATGCTTACTTTAAATTAATGTGTAGGTTAATATTTAATGCGCATGATAATGCCGGAACGATGAAACTTCTTGCTTGCTTATACATTCATATATTAAATTTATATTTCATCATTTACATTCTACATTATACTTATTTAATCAAATGGCTAATATCTATTTATTATTATATCTTAATATTAATGCATGAAATATATATTCAGATACTTGCTGTAGCTTATGTATTTATAAATAACCCAACATGAATGCCAGATGCAAATTTTTGAAGTTAGCGTTATATAATGCAGGTTCGTTAAATACGGGACATGATGATTTTATTGTGGCTATGACTCGTTTTGATGCGGATATCGTCGCTATTAATGAGACGTGGTTACGTGCCGGTCAGGAAGCAAGGGCACCCGTTGTCCCTGGCTACCGGCTTCGGAATACTCCTCGACCACAGCATATGCGGGGCGGAAGAGGCGGAGGAGTCGCATTCTATGTAAAAAAACCGTTACGTGTGCAGCTTTTAAGTCCTATTCAAGTAAATATCGAACAGATGTGGCTGTCAACTGCAGCAAACGGTCAACGTGTGTTGGTAGGTACGGCATATAGGCCTCAGTGGTTGAGTGTGGACTCTTTTTTCGACGCATTGACGGAAACTATAGCGACCTTTACGAATTACGAACACATTGTTCTTATGGGTGATTTTAATGTTAACGTTATTGATAGCTGTAGTGATAATGTAAGGAAACTTAATGAGTTCCTACAGTGTTTGGACTTGCGACAAGTCGTGACTGAATGTACACACTACTCCATTGACTCAGATACCTTAATTGACCTAGTATGTACCGACTGTAGGATTCGTGACCTTTTCCGTCTCAAATATAACTGGTTCATTGGGTCACGCAATGATTAACTTTAGTTTAGTGCTAAAAAAATCGAAGATTCCGTCGAAATATATGATGCACAGACCTCTGGCTAGGATGGACTTGGCGAGTTTTAATGCTGATCTTAACTCAATTGAATGGGAGTCGGTCTCTGGGTTGACCTCAGTTGAATTGATGGTGGATAGGTTCAGTCAGCTTTTACTATCACTTTTTGATAGACATGCTCCGCTTACAACACTGAAATTCAAACAGGATAGGTCATTGCCCTGGATAACGGATACAATCAAAGTAATGATGGAATTACGGAATAAAGCCTTTGCTAGATATCGTAGATCAAAAACTGATGCAAACAAGAAGTACTATAATGACCTTCAGAGATTGCTCAAAAAAAGTATTCACAATGAAAAATGTGCGTATTTTAATTATTATATTAACGCTAATAGTGGAAATAGTAAGCATTTTTGGAAAAATTTAAAGCAGAAAGTACTTGTGCAACCTTCTAGGGATGTTATCCCTGATAGTTTGGGTAGTCCTGACCAAATAAACAATCACTTTTTAAAAGTACCTGGATCCGACGCTGTTGCTATATCTCATATGACCTATTTTGAATATCATAGGTTTCGATCATCTGAATCAAATTTTATTTTACAGCCTGTCTCTGAGGCCGATGTTTCTGATTACCTTAGGTCTATAAAATCGAATACTGTCGGAAGTGACGGTATCAGCAGGGTAGGTATATGGTACTTCTTACCTTGCCAAGAACTCTGTCGGTTATTACAGATGTTATAAATAAATCTATCACAACGGGAATTGTCCCTGATAAATGGAAGTACGCTTTTGTGACACCTGTACCCAAGACTGAGCCTGTAACCGATTTCAAGGATCTAAGACCTATTAGTGTATTACCTTTTTTATCAAAGCTTCTTGAGAGGGCTGTTCATTGTCAGCTGATGAAATATGTGGAGAACAATAATATTCTCCCGTCACACCAGTCTGGGTTTAGGAAGGGACGTGGTACTGTTACAGCGCTGCTTGATGTCACAGATAATATTCTGTCGTGTCAGGATGAAGGGCAATGTACTCTGTTGACTCTGCTTGACTTTTCTCGAGCATTTGATTGTATTAGCATCCCACTTCTACTGTCTAAGATGGCATACTATGGCTTTGATCCTTCATCAGTCAAATGGTTTAGTAGCTACCTTTCTGGCCGTTACCAATCTGTTTTTATTTGTATTCTAAACATTCTTCAGTTGATCGTGGAGTGCCGCAGGGATCAATACTTGGGCCATTGCTCTTTACTATTTACAGTGCTGACCTGCCTAATGTGATCAGACATTGTAAATATCAATGTTACGCCGATGATGTACAATTGTATATTTCTGCGCATCCCTCTCGTATATCTCGGGCCCTGCAGCTAATGCATGAAGACTTGAACGCTGTGGCCTCGTGGTCAAGTAAAAACGCCCTGGTGCTGAACGCGGCTAAATCAAAGTTCATGCTTTTTGGATCAGAAAAGCAGACTGCCAGTATTCTGAACAGAGGTTTGATAATTAAGCTATCGGGAGAAACCTTGGAGTGTGTCAATGAGGTAAAGAATTTGGGCATTATTTTGGATAGTCGGTTGCGCTTTGAAACCCATGTGCTAAATTTAGTTCGTAATTGCTTCTATCGCCTGAAAATTTTATATAAAATCCGTAATTATCTGTCGGAAAAAGCACGCATCGCACTTTGTGAATCCTTGGTTCTCTCTAGATTAAATTATGGGGATTTAGTCTACGGACCTCGTCTGTTGCAAAGAACTCAGAGGTTGATTCAACGTGTACAAAACTCGTGTTGTCGGTTTTGTTTCAGCATACCTCCCTGAACTCATGTCTCACCGTATATAGATAGTGCTTTGATGCTAGATATGGAGTCACGTAGGAAACTACATCTTGCAGTCCTCATGTTCGGCATCATGAAATTTAAAAATCCCAATTATCTTTATGAGAAACTTAAATTTTCGAAATTGCACTGTATATATGGATCGGGTGAGCCAAGATCGGTGAGGCCACCTTTAGCTACCTATAGCCATAGGAGTGTTGCCTTTACTGGTTCCTTCCGTTACCAGGCGACCAAATGTTGGAATAATATACCTCCTCCAATACGGCAGATTCCAACGCGGAACTCATTTAAGACACATTTTAAGAATCTGTTATTGGATTCCCAACAGAGAGGTGTTAGGTAAGGTGTCGTCAAGGTGACGGTTGGCCTTTGCTCTTCTTCATTTTGTTTTTGGTTTGTGTGTGCATGACAAGATTTAATATAATCATTTTATTTAAAATTTTGACATTTACCTTAATCTTCATAATCAATTTTCATACTAAACAAACATGATTCAATTTATTATTATGTTAATTATTATTATTTAATTTATAATGCAATTCATTTTTAGTCTATTATTTCCTAATCCAATTCACTTTGTATTCCAAGTTTTATAATCTTGTGTAATTTATTGAAATAGTTTCAAAGTATATATCATCAATATTTAATTTTGAACTTTGACGAATAGTATATACCTATTTAGTTGCATCACCGCTAATCCATTTTTTTTAGGTTAAAGCTGAAAATCAGTAGTTTGCTCAATAAGCAAACATATTACTGAGCTTTTGCCTTTTTGCATCGTTCCGGCACACATGCAGAGTTGTGTATGTCTTTTTGTTTATTTTTTTCTTCTTTAATATTTAATCTTGTATCCATTCAACTTTATAATTGTTGGCATGTGTGTGTGTGATATATGCAAATAAAATTATTATTCATTCATTCATTCATTCAAAATGCATACGAAAAAGAAGAAAAAATATTTACATATTAAGGTTTAAAAATAATATCTCGTTAAAATGACGAGAATAAATTTTAACAAAGTTGAATTTATAACAAGAAACAACATGTGTAAAAATATATTTTAAGGTCTGAAACTTTTTCTTAAATAAACGTGTCTGCCTTATTTACTATAAAATACTAAGATAGCCACATAAACTTAACACATGTGTATAATATAAACGTATTCTATATTAATCTACCGATCCATATGTATATTCATTTTTATGATTAAAAAATGAGCGGGTCATAGCTTGGCCAGATGTTTTAAAATCTTGAGTTTCTTCATGATAAGAAAGGCTTATTGACCGATTAGTTCCAGCTTCATCTTTAATTCATTAACACCCAATAATCTGTCCTTGTCCCACGTTATAGGTTATGGATTATTCTCGTTTTTAGATGCCATCTTAAGGGAAATTCTGTCTCCGCAATGAAAATATAAACAGAGCGATGATAATTATGAGACCTAAAAAGTCAAATCTAACGAAACATTTAAATCGTAAGGGACAATCGCATGAAATAAAAGTGAATATCAATGTCCAGATTCTGCGAATGAAATTCCGATTGATACGGAAATTATGTAAACGGCTTTAAATAGAGCTATTATGAGTTGCAATAAATTTGATGCAGCACATTTTAGTTGCGCCCATACGTTCACTAGATGGATCACGTGTTCTGGTTTTAAGGTATCTGAATGCTCACGTACTTCTATGGAATTGTCGAAACAAATACTTATCAGGATCACTTTGAAACACTTGCTTAAAATAGTTTTATTATATTAAAAACACATATTCAAGTCATACCTACTCGACTTCTTTCTTCTTTGACACTGTTTTTCTCTACTTTCAATTTCCGTCAATTTTAAAACATGAACAGGTCAAATAAATTTAATGGTATTTCTTTAATAACAGTTTTTATTATTTTCGTTGCATATTTTATATATCAAATATTTGCATATTGCTTTCGTAGAACAATATAAGTTTTTAGATAT